TGGAAAAACCCATCTGGTTCACTAATGTCCTTTAGGGAAGGAAACTGCCATCCTTACCTGGTCTGGCTACATGTGACTCCAGACCCACAGCAATGTGATTGACTCTTAACTGCTCTCTGGGCAATTTGGGATAGGCAATAAATGCTGGCCTAGCCAGGCATGCCCACATGCCATGAACGAATAAAGAAAAAAAAATGTGTAGAATTTCAATGTCACAAAAGAGAGAAGGATGAGGCACCCTCAACCCATCAATAACACATTTCAGTGTTGGGGACGTACTGTGGAAATATTAATTGTAGTGAGTGTCAGGAATCTGGAAACCACTGAGCCTGGATACACTTAATATAGTTTTTGTCATGATATGCTTAAGACTCACATGCCCTAGTATTCTAACACAGTTAAATGGGAAAGTTACTTGCAAATTTAAAGGGATTCTGAGAAATGATAAAGCACACGCACACAGTCTCAGTGGTTACAATGCATGAAAATGGTTTGTGATTTTAAGGGAGTAAACAGAATATTGAATTTGGGCAAATTTACATCGAGAGATATCAAATATCCAGAATGAATTATCAAGTAGCTTTTAAAAAAAGTGGGTCATCTTAGAGAAAGAACTAACAAAATGTGTTGTGCCTGAATCAAACAGAAATGTTTGACTTCTGTTCTAATATATTTTAAGATAATGCTCCATAAGCTCCAAATCTCTACAGGCATCTGGAATTAGATAGGATGGTAATAGTTAAATTGCAAAATTGGATGAGACAAAGAATTTAAGGGTGGAGACTGGTGGCAGAAACAAAAGAAATAGAATAATGGATTGAAATGGCAATTGAGGTTAAAATGCATTTTATTGCAAAGGAAGTTTAATGACAACACCAAATTGATAGCTTTCTCTTGGTAATGTTTGTGTCCTTGTCTTTCTTTTTAAGAAAGACTGAATTGATGATCAAGCCACTACGCGAGACATCGGAACCAAACGTGGAGAGATAAGTAAAACCTCATAGATCGTTTGATATGGTCATGTGGGAGTCAAGAATGTGTGACAAGGTCTTGGGACACTGATGTTAATGTGCAAAAGTGCATGTTACCTCAGGGGTAGCAAACATGAGACGGTACAAAAAAGCATGCACAGAAGAACAGGTCTCAGACATGTGCACCCACTTGGCAAAAGGATTAGTGGCTTGGAATAGCACAAAAACATAGTTTAAATGATAAGACACTGATACCAAATCCACAGAGAAACTGACTTCAAAACAATAAAGGTTGTATTAGTGAAAGGGCTGCAAAGTGTATTACAATCAAAATAAAAAGTGTGGTTGGCTAGTATGTCAAAATGTTACATAAATAAAAGAATGTGAACTCTGGGGGGAGTAATAGTGGACTGAGTGAAAGGAACCATCGGATAACATACACATACCCCATCTTGAGCGTTTTTATGACCAAACCAGTAGGTGAAATTATAATGCGTTAGGACAGTTAGTATATGTGAAAGAAGGCTGAGCTAATACTCAGATGGCGTAGGAGTCTGTGGTAAGGGAACCCCGGGAAAAGGAGCTGTATTGTTTGATGTCATGTATATTGTAGCTTAAAGGGAGTACCTGCATTGGGATGTAGTTAAAACTCAGTGTTACAATCATTCATACAATTGGCAAGGAAGTAAACAGATTGAAGAAGTATCCTCAAGACGTATACAGATGAAGGGAGCTGGAGAAATTTTGAGTCCAATGTGTAATGTTATTTTACTGTTATTACGTGAAGTGATCTGTGGATAGGGATCAGGAAGATAAAAAAAACAAATTAGGGATATTACTGCTATTAGCATAAGCATGAAAATGCTAATCCCCTCTGGAATCGTCTCACATTTGATCCCATCAGGGGCAGAGAGACACATGGCATGACTTGCTGGTTCTACCACAGCCTTAACCGTACATCGGGTTGGGATATATTTAAGAGTTGGTCCCTGAAGTCCACTGCAATTGTTAATTTGGCGATACACTCTATTGTTGTATTGTTTGTATTGATGCTAGTTATTTTCATTGTAGTTTTAATCTTCTAGCGTAGGCTACATACTCTTATTGTATGTTCCCGCGCAGCTATCACTGATTTGCTTCTGCAATTGTAAGATGCGCTGTCAAATATCATCAGGGGTGTACTTTACAGGATGGGCTGAATGGCTAAACATTTTGATGATATTAGACTGCTGCATGATCTTGAAAGAGTCCTGTGAACGTTCTTGTATGTACCAAAGCCGGCAGAATCAATGTGTTTTTCTGTAGTTGTTTTTCTGTGCCTTGCTGTTTGTACACTGTATAAGAGAGAGAGTTTTGTTTCAAGTTGCTGGACTTCACCATGAACCGGGATCACAAACGGTGCCAGGAACAACATCAGCCTCCAGACCAACAGTCGATTGAGGGGTCCTGATGGGCAGAAGGTTCACTGTTTTTACCCTCTCTTTTTCATTCTTTTTATTTACTTGATAAATGTTCTTTCTTTTTTCATCTTTTATCATTACTCAATAAATGTTCTTATTTAAGCAAATTGCTGTTGTCAAGCCTTCTCTTAACTACATTTAATCAAATCTGAAAAGAACCGCTTGGATACAAGACAGTCACACAATTGAATTAGTTTCATTTAGTGCATATTTTTGCAGTTCAAGTACAGAAAATGTAAATAAATAGCAGTTTAATGACTTCAGTCTCACCTTTGCAACAGCCAATCTTTTCAAATGTGTCAGTTTAACACCTCAGAAGTCACTAAAGTTTGCAGTTTATTCAGTGCAAATGTCAAAGCTTGTAGTATTGTAGCAGTTCTAACAGTGTCTAACGAAGTAAGATTGTACTCTGTGATAATTGCAGGGCTCAGAAATGTATGAATAAGTAACATAGTGAGAAGAAACCTAATGGAGATTAAAAGAAATTTCCAGCCTTTGGTGCATTAAAGAAGTTAATCCCATGTTAACTAACACCTTTGAAAAAGAACCAGATATATATCAGGCAAGGAGTGAGATTAAAGATTTATGTGATATGATGTGATAGCTGATGAGCTACAACTATTGCAATGTGATACTTATGTTAGCAGCCATAACATTATTTTATTGTAAAATATATTTTATTCATAAAAACATAGTCACTTAAGCAGTTCAGTTCTGTACAGCAGCATATGAAGAAAAGAAACACACATTGGAGTTTGACTCCATCCAACAAACAAAACCAAAGGCATCTCTTACTTGTGTACCAGGAGGGGCCGAAAACTGAACAGACTCCCATTTTACTTCATCAGAAAGACCTCAGACTGCGGTTTTTCCCTACAGTGCCTAGCAATATCTGTCCCAAGCTTCAGTCTGTCCCACAGCATGTAGTCCTGGACATTGGAATGTGCCAGTCTCCAACACTCAGTCGATGTCAACTACTTACTCTGGAAGGCCAACAAGTTTGGAGCAGACCAAAGGGTGTCTTTCACTGAGCTGATGGTCATCCAGGTGCAGCTGAAGTTTGTCTCAGTTTGCATTCTGGGGAACAGTACATATGAATGAGATGGAGATCATGTAGTATTGGAGAATTCAATTAACTTTTGTTTCAGCACCTCGTATACACATAAATAAATTACAAACTCAGTCACTTGTGTGGCTAGGTTCAAGCTAAGTAATCCCAATGTGCTCTAGCATGCTTCTCTCAGCAGGAAATGCTGAAAGAGGACAGAGCTCAATAACATGGAGAATACACATTTATACCATTGGATTGTATACCATGATACTGTGATGAGATGAAGATCATTTCCTTTTAAGATATAATACACATCAGCTGTGAGTCATAACACAAGAAAGATCATAGGAAGATGGGAATGCAAAAACAAACATGATAATCCCTGTGTTGCTGGGACTATTGGGATTTTACTTTGAGAAGCTCTGAATCTGTGGAAAATAATTTAAACCTATTTTCAGGTAGGCTGATTAATTGGATGGAAGTTTTAGAGGGTTTTGAGGCATATTTTCCCAGGACATTGAACAATTGT